GATAATCATGGAGAGCACAGTGATGATGATAATGTTTATACTGTAGCGTCAAATTATAATTAAGGCTAAAAATAGGAATAATTATACTAAAAACAGTGACTTAATCTGGCAAAGAGCTCGGACGCTGAAGTTAGATTGACTGGATTCAAACCTGGCCCTGCCCATCCTCTCTGTATGACCTTCAGCCACTACTTCACATGCGGTTCTCAGTTACACTGTCTGATAATAATAGTGCCTCAAGGGGGTATAGGAAGAGTCTAAGCATTAATAAATGGATGACAGGTAGAATACAGCCTGATGTGGGGTGAAGATTACGCTAGTATTTCTTAAGTAAGCAGTAGGATATCTTTTCCATATGCACAACATGGCTCCAAGCTCAGTGACTGCTGGGTCACCAGCTCATACAGGGAAAAAGTGGAACAAGGCTGGCTTCCTTGTCTCAGTCTAATCCTATGCTCTGCTTTCACAACCTAGACACTACTTCTACTTAAGTCAGAATAAGTAGGAAGATATTAGAGGCACTTAATGGACACAAACATGCTCTTTTTTCCTCCATTGTTCTTTATGGACATGAGTGAATATTTTTTAAAATCAACAAGCATAATAACAAACTGCCTGATATGCAAAGTAAGGGAAATAACCTGCTTCTTCCAGTCAACAAGAATGCAGACTATCAGAGTCAGGTGACCATCTGGTAAACAAATATTAAACTTTTACAAGCTGATCTACCTTCCTGCATAGGAGGTAAACACTTACATGCTAAGTAAATATTTATTTTCTCTGTTCACAATGAGTTGGGTTTACATGAAGGGCAACCATATTTCCCAGCTGATTTGTAATTAGGATTGGAGTAACAGGCATTCCCCAAATTTTTCTCTGAATACCCTTTCATCAAGGAGACAGATATGCATTATGCTATTTTCTACTAAGTAATAAATTTTCCTCATATATACTTTGTATATATTCTATCACCCACCTTTTTCTTCACCATACAGGTTATATAATGATAGGACAAAAGATACATGTGACTGAGAAAACAAAAACAAGGTCACCTTTATTTCAGGCACCTAAATAGGACTTGCAAAAATTCCTTTTTTAATGCATTTTTGGCTAGTCTTCCATCCCCTGCATATGTATATAAAAAGCATATTTATATACTGGAATATATATTATGCATTCCATTTTGGATTTTACTTTCACTGATTTTATATCATAAGCATTTCTCTACGTTAGGATATATTTTTAAAGCCAAGCAATTTAAGTGCATGGCTTTTTGTAAGAGATGTTCTATTATTCTCATTATTTTTAAGTATCATCTAGTTTTATGATTATAAACAATGTTTCATAGAAGGTTCTTCTATACTTTGGCTCATCTTTTTAAGACAGGATACCTAATGTAATCATGTGAGGTCAAGGACTCTGACATACCTTTCTTTCGAAGGCTATGGCAATTTTCAGTGCCACTACAACAGTGCTCATATCACTCCCTTACTATCTTAAAATATAGTGTGCTTACTGTCGCCACGCATACCACAGAAATAAAATTGATTTGATATAACAAAGCAAGCCTTAAATGAAAATCTTGTCTGGAAAATAAATCTAATTACTGTAATTAACAGCGAAATCCAAAAGAAGCATCCTGCACCACTATTATTATGTTATTATTAACATTAGGAAGGTATTTCATTTGTCAACGTATTTTATAACCATGTCTTAGTTAATCCCCGTAACGTGCTTAGGAGGCAATGAAGCTATTTATAGCTGGACTTTCTGAGCAGAAAGTCTTTCAATTGTCCTTTTGTCCTATTATTCCAAATCAGTATCTCCAGTGCATCAATTCACAGAATCACTCTTATTGCCGAAAAACTTCAAGGATGGGGTACTTCAGTGGTCATTTGGTCCAAGAAGATCAAGTAATCATTGATGTGGGATACAGAATTTTCATAACAAATACTAATAACTGGCTTTCTTCTCAAATTCCAGTGCCTCCATGAAAACATAGCCTACCATCCATGGCTGCTAATAAAACTGCTATTTTAAAATTTAATGACTTTGTGCTGTGTAGTGGCTGTAGGGGTAAAACTTTATACTCAATACGATTCTTACAATTTCAACAACTACCGGATTATGTCCTGTGTAGCTAAAGCAACAGGAATAAAATTCACACTCAACAACATCAGAACTTTTCATGACCTTAAAATTAATAATTGAGAAACAGCATAATTGAGTATCTATAATTATGTAAACACTCTTCTCTAAAAGCATTTTTTTCTATCAGAGAGGGGCTGGAGTTCTTTAAAGGAGACAAGGAATAAATACATAAAAGATGAGAAGCATTGGTGCATGTGATGCTCAGCCTGTACAGTGTCTGGTTCTGAGCAGACCGAGGCTGCAGAAGTGCACAGAAGTGCAAGGAATCTCTGAAACTGTACAGCAGGTGTGGCCGAGTAGAAATGACACCTCGCCTCAAGTCAGAATTCACAGGCTCAAGCCCCATTTGGCTATTCTTTAATTGACATTTCCATGTCATCCTCAGATGTACAACTGAAATCACAATTCCAACAGAGCTAGGTGAAAAGGAGATGGTCCCTGTTGCTAACTGGTACTGTTAACATATTTGTTTGTTATTGACTACCTGTACCCCCTTTCCCATTCCAGGACGGCAAGAAATTTGAAGTTTGTCTAATCAGCCTGCTGACCACAGCAACATACGAGGGCTCAGCAAAAGAATCATGCTGGGTAGTTTAGTAATAAAAAAATGTTGTTACAGAAAAATAAGATACAGCAAAAACTAAACCACTATAGGAATTAAAGGGTTAAAGTAACCTGCTGAAGGCTCTCAAGGCTGTTGGCATGAATGTGAAAGGGATCCAAGTTTGGGCTCAGTATCTTAGTTTACTCATTGAATAAACATATCTTCAGGGCTGGTGGAGTGGCTCAAATGGAAGAGTGCCTGCCTAGCAAGTGTGAGGCTTTGCGTTCAAACCCCAGCACTTGGAGGGTGTGGGGAAGACATAAAATATCTTCAGGTCCCTTTTCAATGGACTCCACTACACATAAGTGCTAAACAAGTAAACATTCACCAGTATACAATACACGATAAGATACTAGGGACACAGAAAAATAAGGCACGGTTTCTGTCTGCAGAAGGCCTATATTCTGCTACAGAAGACATATCACGGATGGATATGTACAGAGCAAAGTATCTGAATACATCCAAAAGGTACAAGGGGTTGTAGGCTGGTCAAAGAGAAGCAGAAATCCAGACTGAATTACAAATGGTATAGTTGTTAGGTGTGCCACCTATACAAAGTCTTATAGTATAAAAAGGGAGTTTCCCCATTTGGGGTTGGGGCAAAAACTGAGAAGAAAAAGTAGGTAGACAAAGCAGCAGGGCAACACCACGTAGAATGTGGGAGCTACAGGCAGACAAGAGTGGTAGGGCATGAAGTCCAAGCAAGAAGATGAGGAAAAACACTGTGGAGAATGACACTAGACACCAATGGTCTGTGTGCCACAGCAAAGACGTTCTGTCCCCTTCTTTCAATGAGGAGAACCAACGACAGGTTTCACGACAACAGATTTGCCTGTCTGAAATATTATTCTGGAGTCAGAAAGGATGGATCTGAAGAGCAGAAAAGGGAGGCAAGAAGATGAGAGAACAGGTAGACATCCGGGGGAATGGAGATGGGGGTGGAACTGAATCTAAGAGGGAGCAAGGTGCTGATGATAGATGGGTTCAGTGGGGAACTGGGCAAGAAGGTGGAACCAAAAATAATCCCACTTCTATGCAGGGCATGTGGGTATTGGAGTCCATTATTTTTCCCATCTTTGTTTGTGACTGTGATGGTTGGATTCAGGTATTAAACTTTACCCTGATCATTATAAGGTAATCTGAGGGCTTCTAAAGACTGTTCTCTGTCCTGGACATCTGATGCCTTTTTGAACTGTTGGTTAAAGCTGAGTAGGATCTTCATCCAATGAGAAGGTGAAGTAGAGTGAAGGGTACTGGCTAGAACTGCAGACTCAATTCTGGACATGACCCTATGTATTTCTAGATATCAACCAAAATAGGGAGCAGAAGAAAAGGCTCATGAGAAAGCAGAAGCAAATGGTGAAAGTTTGACATCAAGAAAGGACTACTTCTGAGAGGATCTCTGCCTCAGAATGGAAGAAGAACCACTCCTTTCACTGTTCCCATGGGGGACCACTGGGGTCAATGGATGTCATCTGTGGGGGACCTTTCAGTTAGACAAGACAGAATTTCTTAACAGTCTGGAGTACCCAGAGGTGGTATAGGCCATACTGGACTAGAGAAAGTAGTCTGCATTAGTTTTAGGGACTGCCACAACAAAATACCATATACTGGCTGAGAGAAACAGATTTTTGCACATTTCTGGAGGCTGGAAATCTGAGGTATTTTAAGGCACCCTCATTGTCTTGTAGAAGGCTGTCTTCTTAATGTGTACTCACAAAGTCTTTCCTCTGTTTGGTCTGTATCCTAATCTCTCTCCCTCTGTTCACGCTCTCTCTTTTAAAGACACCAGTCATGTTGAATTAGGGCTCACACTTATTTTAATTTAATCAGCTCTTTTAATATCTTATCTCCAAAAACTGTCATATTTTGAGGTGCCAGGAGGTAAGTTTTCAAAATATGAATGTAACAAGACCTACCAACAGGATGTGTAAAAACAGAGAGCTGGTGATTGCCAGGCAGCAGACGCTGATATAGAGAAGTTGAAGCATCTAATTTGGGCTATCCCTTGAAGGTTCCATTAGTTCTGAGAGCTACAATTCTAAATGTAGCAAGGCAGTACCTAACTGGTGCTACTAAACATGAGTAACACAGTATCTTCCTCAGATTTTGGACAAAAATTACATTTTCATGGCAGCTTAAATGATGGATGAAAAACTCCTCCTATGTAACCCTTCCCCAAGGAGATGTGCAGGCACTCCAAGATATGTATCACCTGCAAAGTACAAGAGAAGGCTGTTCTTACCTGTGAAAGAGAACAGACTTGACCAAGGTGACGACGTCCCGGCTGGCATTGTATCCAGCACAGACGATAGCGACATGGATTGTCTGCAAGAAGAGAAACACAGGGTGAACAGTCAGACAGATGGAATCTGGCCTTCCTAGGGTTACAGACTCACAAAAAAGAAAAAGAAAAATCATTCTTACTTCTTTTTGGGTTCATTAGAAAACAAAGGGCACTATCTGCAGCTGTGGAGAGTAACTTGAGAGTTTTATTAAAGTATTTTTAATTGGTTTATGGAGCTATCATCATCTGGACGCCATAAAGGCTCTTTACAATTACATTTTGGGGACGAGAGAAATGGTGCTTGGTTCAAACAGGCAAACAGTGAGTCCCCTGCCCCCAAGTGGGGAAACAATGGCAGTTGGTAAAAGAGACAAGAAAGAATACACTATGACACAATGAACCTACAATCAGAGACCTTAGACTGAGAAGTTGTGGCTGAGAGAGTTTGTGGAACACTCTCACGAGATGTCTTAGGTTAAGGTCAACCAGGCAGTAGGGGGAAAGGGAACAGTGAACATCTCTGGGCCCCATCTGGGATATTATTCCAGGAACAGAACTGAGAGGACCTTACAAGTCCTCTCATCTAAGCAGTTGGAGGCATGGACTCCAGAAGTGAACCTTGGCCTTGTCATTGCTGACTCTTGCACCGAAAGGCCTGTGACCGGGTCGTGCAGGATGGTGGTACAGAGTTAAAGAATGCTGTAATAGCAGAACATGATGCTCAGCACACCACGTCTTAAACATAGCCAAAAAAGGTCCTCCAGACCAGGGCTTCCCAAGTGGGGTGACTTGATGTGCCATGATTGAATTACAGGTGATAAAGACTCATTTCTTCACACCCTCAGGCCAGGTTGGCACCTTCAGATTGGCTCTGACCTGATGCCAACAACTTTTCCGTTGACCTCCTGCAATATAAAATTATTATGTTTTACATGTGGTACGGCTTGACCAACTGGGAAGCAGGGCTCTAGGGTAACCACAACGGGACGTCACACATCTCAAGGAATGGACAAGTCAGTGTCTCTCAATTCTGTGTCTACTACTGAAACCCAGCCTTCACTGAATAGATGCATGTCCCATCATAGCCAATTCCACCATATTCTGTCCTCAAAGTACTGCAAAAGGGTGATCCCTGTGGTACCCACCACTGAAATTAAAGGGCAGGTGGGTGATAGATGGCTCTTCTTTTTCAGATCTACTCACAGTACTCATAGCATGGACTCTGGATTCTCCACTACCCTGGTCAGCCACGTCTAGGTGCTGCTCTGCTCTCCTAGTCATTCCCTTACAGGGCTTTGTACACTGACTTTTGACTGCCATACCCTCTTCCCCGGTCCTGAAACAACCTCAGAAAATGAACCTATCATAGGTAAACCCAATCATCCAACAGCCTCACTCAATGCACATGACTCTTTGATCCCAATGACCTTGACCTTGACCACCACCATTCTAGTGCCAAGTGTAAGAGCAGAGGAGGCAACTGTACTTTCATTCAGAATCTCATTTTCTCAGAAATCCTGTAGCCACAGGCCTGCCATACCTGCAGGAAATCTCAGAGCTGCTAGGTACTATGGCTCCTCCCTGCCTTCACTAAGGGTCCTAATTTTCCCTATGGGCTCAACCTTTCCATGCCACTGTGCCTGTGTCCACTACTGTTCATCTGAACCCCCGCCTCACTCTTGTCTCTGCTTCCCCCACAATGTCTCCACCCTGTGTGCAGAGATCCCAACCCTGGCTGGGATGCTACAGGCCCACCTCTGCTCTTGTACTTTAGTGCCAAGAAAGATGAAGGAATAATGAGCATAATGATAGCTAATGTGTATCAAGCAAATGACTACACACCAGGCACTGTGCCTAACACTTTGCACATATAACCAGATTTAGGTCTCACTGTTATGTGAGTCAGGTTCTTTTCTGCATCATATATCAGGAAACTCAGGTTTAGAGAGTGGTGATTTAAATTCTACAACAGAAATTCTTAAATCTGGTGGTAGATCAGAAACACCCAAAAGATCTTTAAAATATAACCTGTGCCCTAGAGCTGCCTCTGACCAATTAGTTCAGTCTCTGATACCCAGACCTACAAGTAGTCTGTTGAAAGGCAGCAGTTCTCAGCAGGGGTCATTTCACATCCTCCCTGTAGTCCTAAGGACTTGGTAGGGTCTGGAAACATTCTTGGTTGTCCCTATTTGGTGTGAGGGCAGTGGGGGGGCTGCGACTGGCACCTCAAGGTTAGAGGCCAGGGATGCTGTTATTCTTGCACACCCTCAAGTGTGCGAGTCAGTTCCCAAACAAAGAATTTTTCTAGCTAAATGGTCAAGAGAACCACCACTAGGAAACTGTTTTAGGAAGAAGAAGGGAGACAAAAAGGGGGTCAGGAGAGGTTCAGATCCCTCTGGATTCTATTGCTACCTTTGTTCAATCTAATTTATGCATCTCTTAATTTCTCTACCTATAAAAGGAAGGCCCCAGCACTTATCTCAGGATAATGTATCCCAAAGACTCAGGATGAAAGATTATCGTGCGGCTGCAACTGCCACCATTTAAATCGTGCAGGAAATGAATAGAAAAATGCCTGCACACTGGGAGATAGACCTAGGAAGGGGACGGGGATGGGGATGGGGAAAAACATGCAGAATCAGGCTCTTCTGAGTCACAAATATTTAAACATGTGCCCTCTGAGATATCAAACTTTGTCTTGGCTTCAGGCTTCAGAGACTTTTAAAAATGGGTCCATTAAACATAAGCACAAGCATGCACATTCTCAAACATTTTACATAATTTTCCAATCTCTCTAGTTTCATCCAATACACCTGCCACTATGAATAAATTCATCATCTGGAGATGTAGCAGCAGGGCCCTGATCCCTAGAAAAGAAAAACAGAGCATCATCAGATCCACTCTTCGAAGGGGTTCGGGTGGCCCAAAATTTTGTGGGTACGGAAGTTCACGATGGGAGTTGGTCAGGGGTAGGGGCAGAAATGAGAAAGAAGGAAACAGGCATAAATATTCCTTGAAAGAAAAGGGTATTGTCAAAGTAACTTTAGGTTCTGAGCCATGAGGTACTGATCTGTTTGTTTCTTGGTGTGGCAGTTAAAGATGATCTCAGTGACACAGGTGTCCCTCCCAAGAAAGTGTGGGGTCTGAATGTAAGATTCTTCAACCTGGGAAGCCCACACTAAGCCTCCCTCTCTATACTTATAAGTGAGAGACACATCTTTGCCACAAAGTCTGAAAGAAGGGTGCAATGATATCTTCATTTGCTTCTTCAAACTCACTATCTATCCTGTCCCAACTTGTTCTGTGCCCTCAGAGCCCAATCTTTCCAGATACCAGATTAACTGGGCTCCTTCTCCCTTGGTTTCTCATTGAGTTTGGCCAGTGGGAGGCACCATGGAATTTGTGAGGACAGATTTCCCCTGTTCCCATAACAGGCCAGTCCTTCCTTCCAGTTATTGCTGGATTCCATAGAGCCCCCTGCTTCTCCTCCTTCAGGCCCAATTTGCAGCAACTCCTTCCAGGGAGCTTTACCTGCCCTAGCAGGTTCCCCTCACCCTGTCCACACCTTTGGCTCTCCATTCAACCTTGTCGCACCTTGACTGTGCAATCTGTGTTCTCCAGCAGCAGACCATGGCAGTAGCCCTTCCTCTGTGTGCTATTTGTGCTGGGGCTGGAAGACAGCCCAGCAGGCTTTCAGGCCCTTGAGGAAAGGGCACTAATGCAACAAACTTGGGAATTACAAATATCATTTATAAACTTTAAGGAGTTTTAAAAAGTTCTTAGAGCCACAGACTAAAAGGCTCAGTCTAAGGACATGCTTAAAGCTTGCACTCACTTCTGTTAGTCCTTGGCATATTTCTCAATCTAGCTTGAATCTGCAAGGTGTACCTGAAGATACTGTGGAGGTAGTGGCAGAGCTGTGAACTAGCATTCATTCTTGGTACCACCCAGGTCATGTAGTGACCTTTACTTTTGAATCTCCAGGAAGGATTTCTAACATGAAGGTGTGGGGGTCTCTGAGGTACCAGGACTGTGCATATGAAAGTAAATTAGCTCCTGTCCTCCAGGGTCAAGTGCAGAGACAGAGCAACAGTTAACCTGGCAGCTGGAAAGGCTCCTGTGAAAGGCTCAGGGAGCCACACCATACATACCACAAGTGTGCAGGGAGATACTCCAGGGGACAATTTCAGTGACTAGACCAGAGCAACTCCTCACTCATGACATTCAGGGCCAAATGGATTTGTGACAGTCCTTATCAATCTCCACAAAACCTGAAAAAGAAATGTCTCTGTGCTCTGCCCCTCTGCAGGAAAAACGTTCTCTTATAAATGGATGCAGACAAAACTAATTGTCCCCAAAGAAATTCAGACCAAACTATGGGAAGGCAGGCAAGCCATGGCCCTGGAAGAAGTAGCTACACTGTGCTGGCCCTGCTGCTCCAACACCAGCATTAGTAGTGGCCCAGGCCTGGTGGTCCCTTCAGGCCATTCTGCCTCAGAACACAATGCATTAAGGCATCTCCTTTGGAAAGAGTGCAGCAGGGAGACAGGAAACATATCTAAACGTGGGCATCGGATGTGTTACGAAAGAGAGCTCAGCCAGATTTGGGACCTCAGCTGCAACTCTGGGAGTAATAATACACGAAGCGAAGTAATGCACAGGTGACACTTAGACTCCCAAGCTAGGTATGGATAAGGACCTGCCAAATGTTCTTATTTAGTTACCTTCACTGGTCACGTGAACTGTCACATAAACTATGGGTGCTGGCTCTGATATAATCTTCCATGGCCCTATCTGGAAAATGGATACAAACAGTCACCCCCTTGAGCTGCTCTGAAGATCAGATAAGCAAGAGCAAAAAAACATACCAGGAAAACCCTCACTTAATAATGTCTCCTGGAAGGATGAACACAAGAAGTTGCATGCTGCCCTGTCCTGTAACATGGGGGACACTGTGCTCTGTGTGTGCTTGAGGAGATCCAGTGGGTTGCTCTCAAACTTCAGTGGGCAGCAGTCACATACAGGGCTGTTGAGACTAGCC